ACAAAAACAAAAAGTTGTTTTTGTTGAGACTATACAACAAAATTCACCAATTCAAAGAGTTCTACTTGTACAGTTCACTGACTGCATGTTCATCTTCCTTCTCTGAGTAACTCTTTGCTCTTAGATGCCAAAAAAGAAAGGGAAAACAAGCAGCCAACCGACTGGTTGAAGCTGGAGTGTTTCTTCCATGTGGCTTAATTGATGGCTAACTTAGATCCCTGTGTGCTTAGAAGACAAGCCTCTAAGACAGTGGTTCTCAACCTTCCTGATGCTGCTACCCTTTGATACAGTTCCTCATGTGGTGGTGACCCCCAACCATAAAATTATTCTCGCTGCTACTTCATAACTATAATTTTGCTACTGTTAGGAATCATAATGTAAATATCTGATGTGCAGGATGTATTTTCATTGTTACAAATTGAACATAATTAAAGCATAGTGAAGCATAAGTATTGTGAAATACTTATTTCTAATTACAAATAATGAAATTTTGTCTTGAAGCATGGTGTCGCATGGGTAACAGTCTTCACGCCGGGTACTTGTATGTGGGCATATCTGCATGTGGGTAGACCTGCCTGGAGATGGATAGAGGAGTGGTGTCTCAGTTCCTAAGACCACTAGAAATATGTTTTCTGATGGTCTTAGGGGACCCCTCTAAAAGAGTCATTCGACCCCTAAACAGGTCACAACCCACAGGTTGGGGACCTCTGCTCTAAGCCCTCAGATGCTATTTTTTTTGATAGCAGAATACCATGTGGTTTTGTCACCACACTCATCATCACCCACTGCCTTCATGAGGAAGGGTGAGCGTCAAGCAAGGCCTTGTCATAAGAATGAATTGTTCTTAGATTGTAGCTACAATTAAGTATCAACCCAAAATGTATTCACATATCTGGTTTATATATGACTCTGGTTTACTTTAGAGATATCACTATCATTTTCTGATGGAGAACATTAAAAATCATCCCCTTTAGGCATAAGGTAATTCTATTGATAGTGTCACTGATTTAGCCAATGTTATAGAATTTTAAATACTGTTACGAAAGGGAAATTACACAATTATAGGCTGGCTTTAGACTACAATACATGAATTATTGACTTGTAAATTCAAAGTGACTGGATATTATGTACACAAACAGTGGGGGTTGGTGATAGGGCAAAACACTCATTCAATAAATTTCAATAACATTTATTCACAAGGATAGAACAAATTAATTCATATCATAAGAAAGCAAGGAGGACATTAAAATAGTAAATATATGGTAGTCCCACATTCCCATTCATTTGGCACTGTCAAAGCAAAGGATCTGAACCAAAGTCTAACAACCATTAATTTTGGGATAGCAGTCAACTGCTTCTTCTCATACTTAAGGCATTTTCGCCTTAAGTTTAATGGAGCATGTCAGTTTCTTAAATCTGCTAAAAGTGAATTTGAGGTAAAGCCCAGCTCACTTAATTGGGTTTCCACAATGAATCCTTCTGCTGTCACCTATGAAGAATGTTGTGGAACTTAAAGGACAGAGTTTAAAGTCCCAGTAGTCTATAATGCCAGCCTGGCTTACCAAGGATTGAGTACAAATTACCGTACATACTCGTGTATAAGCCAATTTTTTGAGCATGTTTTTTATGTCATTTTTATGGTAAAATTAGGACCTCGGCTGATATTCGGGTCAGCTTATACTCGAGTATATACAGTAGGTCAAAAGTGTCCAATTAGGATATAATACTAGGTGTATGTTCCTCTTGGGTTCTATATAAGTTTTGTTAAGTGTTGTTTCCTAATAGGTTGCACCTCCTGGTTTATCCATCAGAAATGTTAGATCCTTCCTAGAGACATGCATGCTTCCTTTCCCAAATCTTGACTTAAATTTCCAATAAGGTTGCCTATTACTCTTGTAGGAGTGCCTGTTGATTTGGGGACCATCTATGTCATAAGGTGTTTTATCACTGTTTTGTTGTTATTGTTGTTTTGTTTTTAGGCATGCCTAGTCTTCTATACATCTATGTACCAGAGTTTCTTTATCCATTCTACTGGTGGGCATTGGGGCTGTTTCCAACCTCTTGCTATTGTGAATTGCCAGAAGAAGCCAGCTCCTAGCACAATCACTACGGGTTCGGTAGGCACAATTGTACAGCGATAATAAGTAAATATTATAGTAAAGTTATAGAGAGCATGAGAGATAAAAGAGATATATAGAAATAAATGGAGTCAAACACATATTATGATAGCATGCTCACCTCAGCCCCGCTTGGTGGTCCACGTGGAGGGAGTGAGAGAGAACTTTAATGCTCCCCAAGCTTTTATACTCTCTGGGGACATTGGGCACGTGCAAGCCCCCACATTACAGGTGAAGACATACGTTACAGGAAAGGGTTGTGCTACAGGTATTACAGTGATGGGAGGAGGTGATCTAGGGACATATGCACTACAGAAGGAGGGATTGGGGGTGTACATGCGGCAATATAGGCGGTTCCTAGATTTCTGGTAGCAGCTTAACTAGACTTTGGGTCTCTATAGGAACCATTATCAGTTGGGTGTGAACTCCACCCACAGGAACCAAACTGATGGCCTTAGGCTCCAGCATCAGGGAGCAGGCCTTAGATTTTATGACTTTCTCATCCAGGAATACAAGATACATTTCTTGTGTGTGTCTGAATTTTCTCAAGGCTGCTTCCTTATCTTGTTATTATTTTAACAATATAGCAGTAACTCTAAGCTCATTTTCCAGTGCTTTTGTAAATTATGTCATATCTGTGCTCTCTTTATGAGCACAAGTATCAAGCAGGGCCATGTCATAAGAACTAATTGATCTTAGATTGGTGCTAGAATTAAGTGTGAGCCCAAGATCCATTTATATATTCATGGTTTATGTATGTCTCTGGTTTACCTTAGAGACATCATTGTCATTTTATGTTAGAGCACTGTATCAATCATCTGTCTCCCTCGGTGCATAGGGTAATTCTATTGATAATGTCATTAATTTAGCCAATGATACAGAATTGAAAGCACAGTTGAGAAAAAGATATTTTACTATTGTAAACTGGCTATGAACCACAATACATGAATTGTCGACTTGTACAGATTAAACTCCTCAAGTTGACTGGAAACTATTTATACCAACAATGGAGTAAGCAATAGGGCAGTACTTTCAATAATATTCATTGACAGTGGCAGATTTTCCCCAAATTTAGCTTCATCACATCCTTTAAAGTGTCTGCATTTAACTTAAACTTATTTGTTAAATTGGTTTTAACTCATAGCTTGTGACCTCATAGGATAGGACAGAAACTGCTCCCTTGGGTTTCTAAGGTTGTAAAATTCGAATGTAAACACTGGTTGATCTTTTTCCGTTTCCTCTTTTCCCCTAGCTAATTTACACACTACAAACTAATCATTGAGTGTTGAAATGGTATCACTTTTAACTGAACGCCAGCCCAGTACTGAGTTGTTGAAGAATTCTCTCTTTTCTCTGGCTCACACAGGCACCGAGCACAAGTGGGTCGAAGCAGGTGAAAGAGAGGGAGAAGCATATGCCTCTTCACATTTTTACACCATTCATGTTTGAACTAGTTCTGGCTGAGCAGAGTGGGAAAACTGGTTCTTTTCCCTCTTCTTTTGAAACACCTGGAATATTGAATGCAGGTTACTTATAAAGGCTTAGGTTTTAAGGTTGATATACACATATAAAAACCTATCTAATTGAACTATTTCATTAATTCTTCATAACATTAAAACAATTGAATTTTCAAGCACACATAAGTTATAAAATGAAAACTGAGTTCAAACAAAAGAATGGAAGTGGGGGGGGGAATTAAACAATTCATTTTCCTTCTGCCCCGATCCTGGTTGTGAAGAGTTATAAATGCTTGTGCATAAAGAATTTTATATTATTCAACCTTCCACAAAACAATTTGAGCTGTAAGATTATGTAATAATTTAAGGCTTCATGTAAAGTCCATTTTCTCCGGAGTCATGATGGATGTGGGTGGACGAAGCCATATTGATAGTAAACATTATTCTCTTTTTAGTCATAGGAACATGCTCATAAATAATCTGAAACAGACAGGATTCATCCTAACAGATTTTCCTCCAGGGTAGATACTTCTGCTTCTTTCACTATGGTGGTTAACCAGGACAGACCGATACAGACACAAAAGTGTCAGGCCTTCCCGGAGCCAAACAGAAATCTCACTGGGCGCAAATAACCAGATAAAACGTGCGGATTCTGCAGAAATCAGAATCAGGGGGAGATGTTGGGAGCACTTGTGCGGGAGCTCCTGGAGGCAGTGGCAGCAGCCACGAGGAGGTCTGTAATGCATGCCCTGAGGCTGCTCTCTCCTGGTAGGCCATGGAGTCTCATTAGCAAGCAAGAAGGACAATTGTCCTGACTTACAGAAAGACTGAGGACCGCCATGAAACCAAACGAAGGTTCCGGTGAGAATCAGGAGATGTTTTATTAACAGATGTGGAAGGTCAGGCACGTAATTGTCCAAGAGTGTCTTGTCTTTGCTCATACGGTCAGGGTTTTCGGACTCTCTGAGAGGCAGTACATTACTGTTTTTCTTTTTCCCCTCAAGAACACAAACTGTATTTTGTGTATGTGTCTGGCTGTTCTCAAGGTTCATTCCTCCTCTTGTTTTTCATTCAACAGAGCAGTAATAATGATGCAGTGTTAACTTCCAAAGCTGAGATGTGTCAGGGTGGAAGGGGAGGGGGAGTTTCTCAAGCTGTAGGGAATTAAAACCTAAAATGTGGTAAATCAGCAGTTCTCAACCTGTGGGTCATGACCTCTTTAGGGGTCAAACGACCCTTTCACAGGGGTCGCCCAATTCATAACAGTAGCAAAATGACAGTGATAAAGTAGCAACGAAAATGATTTTATGTTTGGGGAGTCACCACAACATGAAAGAGTCGTTGCATTAGGAAGGTTGAGAACCACTGTGGGAAATGAAGCAAGAGGTCCCCTCTCATTGGCACCAATGTGCATACCCCTTACAGCATGTGGTTGAGCAGAGTGCTGGAGGTGGGCTGGAGGGTATAGCAGTCTTGTAGACCTGATGTATCTTGCACTTAGGTGCATGAATGAGGGTCATCTTTGCTTTGCAAGCATTCACTTCTCATGTCTCTCCTTCTAGATCCTGCCTGGCCTGTACATTGGCAACTTCAAAGGTGAGTCTACATTTTAAAGGGTTATCCTTAGATCTCTCCACTTGATTGACAGCCCAGTGTAGACCTGGTGCATGTCTGGCTGCAGGCCAGGACCCTCCTTGTCCTCCGTGAGCTGGATAAAGTGCCCACTCCCTCAGCCAAACCATATCCCAGTCTTCTATGCATACCTGCTTCAACTATGGCACAGGCGGGATGTTGAAACTGTTTATCATTCTTATTTTGTAGTTGCTGTTATTAGGTTTTCAATGTTCTCAACAATCACATGGGCCAAATAAGTGGGTATGTCATCTGTGGCAGATGATGCTCACTTGAAGTAACAACTCATCTACGCACTTCCCTGCAGCATGTTCAATATTTATTTGTCTGCTGTCAGCTGTTGACTTGTTTTAAGACCTCCATCTCAGTCTGCTGGTAGTTCAGGAAGCGGCACAGAACCCCAGGCTCAGTTCAGTGTGCAGTAAACAAGCTCACCCCACCTGGAAGGTTGGCCCCATGCCTCTGCTGTAGTGTGCACTGTTTTGATTTTGTTTAAGTGAAAACACACGTTCTTTGCCATTGGAGAGCGAGTGTACTTAGCAAGGTGGATAGACCTAGAACACATACAAAAACAAGTCCTTACCCATGTTCAGGTGGAGAGGGCCCAGTCTTGCCATGCATCCGATGCTTTCCTTTCCTGAGCAAGTCTGAGCCTGCAGCAGCACCGCTGTCATCTGTCTTCTGACTGTTCCTTCCATTTTGGAGTGGAGGTTCAAGTTGATTGTAACTCTTTCTTGCATGATGTTTGTTTTCTCTGTGATGGACCCTTAGGACCCCAGTTGGCCACAGAGGGATCTGAGCACAGGGAGCTGACAGTTGCTGGTTGCTACTAGAACATTTTAAAAATAGCACCGGGTCGCCAAATTAGTAAGCTGTGTGGTTCTGAGAGAGCTACATGGCTCAGTGGTAGGAAGGCCTGCTGGTGTGGGGCTACGTTACCAGCAGGCTGCTCTGGGGTTATTTAGTGAGTTTTTATTAACTATGTTCATGTTTGGGAATAGAATTTAGAATGCATTTTTAGAAATAGAATTGCCAGATGAAAACTTTAACAAATTAAGAATATTAATATATTTCAGCTATAATTTCAATGCTGCTGTCAACTGTATATGAAAGATTTTTGCTGTACTTTTAATAAGACATGCACAGCTTTAAGGAAATATTTAAAACTCTCCTTTTAATGAAATCTCTGCTTGCCCTTGTGAAGACTCACCAACACAGGAGCTTCTCATAACTCTGGACCCTCCGTTTGGGGTTTCACTCTTAGTCATGGTCCACCACAGCCCACACACCCTTGATGAAGAGAGGTGACCTTTTGTTGTGGCCTTCCAGTGCTTTGGTGTTAAAAGGTTGTTATCTCTTATTCTGTGTTTGGTTCATCAACCTGACAGAGCCTCTGAAACACTAGTTTGAGGCCTGTCAAAGACAGATGAGTGACAGTGCCGTGAGTGAGTCAACAGCACACAGATAGGTCGAGAAATGGTGTTTCTCTATCACACCTTTGCACCACGCCTCAGACTCAAGCTTGCCTTGTTGCCATGAAAGTGGAATGTAGGCCACGCCTCGTCCTTGGTGGGCAGAGCTGAGGGGTAGGCATGAGATAAGTGCCCTGAGGAGTGAGTAGAGGGATCCTGACTGTGCCAGCCAGGGTGCCTTCCACACGTGGCAGCCTGTGTGTACCAACTAGGGTCTTCTCACAGCTTTGCAGGATCCCACTGTTGTGGGCTGTGCCTGCTTGGTACCCAGTGGCCAGGCAACCGTTGTTGGTCTCTTTCCAAGGGGAAACCACACACAACTCAGGTTGTCAACACCGTAGGTGCTTAGAAAGCCCTTACATCACGTCTGCTGGGTAGTCCTTTCTGCTGGTAAAGGTTACTTAGCAAATATGAGACTTCTACTTGAAACTAGGCCTCTTAGACAGGCCGATGACTTTCACCTGAAAAGGACTCCTGTGTCATTTGGGATTGAGCCTGGTGTCACATGCAGTCATTTATTAATT